TTGCGGCGTGACCATCCCCCCTGGGGGGTGATTTCTCGCTTTCTGTCTCTATGTCTCTCTCTGTCTGTCTGGCGAGCGCACGCGCCCTATAGCGAAAATCTCTCCAAAAAAAAAAAAAAAATGTTTGCTCCTTTAATTCCGCTTCTCCCCAGCTTTTTGAAGACTGAGCTAGTCGAGGTTAGTCATTGGATGTCATGCTGATATTTCCATTGCTTATGTACTTAGAAACGAGATTCTCAACATTTACATTTTTAAACATGACCTAGTCATATTAGATACTTTTGTTCTGACTACTTAATTTTGTTGTTAGATGTTGGTATACATTTCCCAAATTGCATATAGATTTTCCAGATTCTTAGATTTCTTAATCCTGATTCTCAGTCCTGCCCTTCAAAGACATTTGTGCCGTTTTTTGAAGTCACTGTGTGTAAATAACACACTATTTTGAAAAAGGAAAGAGATTTCTTTTCTTTCCAGAATTTTCAAATAAAGTCGACAGCAGGTAAAAGATTCTTACAGAATTCCCTTCCCCAGCCACCCAGTATATAGCTATAGTCCGTTTTAGGATATAATATTTAACCTGGGAGAATTATTCCCTAGACTGATCCTCCAGGAAAAAAAAGCTTGAAGGGTGACTATGCAGGTTTCTGTTTTGTTCAGAATGAATTAAATTTGGTTATCAAGGGGATGATGGATTTGGGGTAATTAACAGTCTAGAGAGAGTATTCTGGAAGAAGCTTGATGGTAGCTGTCATTTTGAGTAGACACCGAAGAATAAATTCTCGTGAGCTTGTTTCCTTGTTCTGCTGTCCCTTAGTCCCTAACGTGGGACGGTGTTCATTCAGCCTGGCTGTACGCTCAACGAAGTGCTGGTTACGGTATTGTAGCCACTGAGGTATACAGATGGAGGTAGCTTTCTGGGGCTGATTCCTTTGCATTGCCAAGTAGCATTGTTCCCTGGGACTTAATCTGTAGAACCGTTATCACCGTTCACAGCTTTGTTTTGATTCCCATAATTGCCCAGCTGATAGCTGTATCATAATCAAGAGTTTCATAACTCCTAGGGAAGAAAAGTAGACTTGTTCATTAAATAATTGCAAGTTAATTTGAAGTATGGCATTAATTAAGTAGTTATGCATAGTTCTATGAACCAAGGAGAGAATATGAACTTGTTTTTTAACATCGTGTGTTCCCTAAGATGTTTTTCTATAATTGTAAACAAAATTACTCCTACAGAGCTCTAGAAGGAACTGGTATCTATCTTTTATAGGCCTGCCCTAACCTAGACACTGCAATATCTGTTGTATGCTTGGGTTATTTCACCTCTCTTACCATACTCACAATGGCTATTAATTAAATGTTTACATTTGCTTGTAAGGCAAAGAGGGAAGTGAGAAATGTGGAAGTGTGGTGTAAAGTATTTGAAATAGATTAAATGGTTAGTAGTGGCTTATGTCTGGCAGAAACAAACTTGCCAAAGCAAACCATAGTTGCTATCATCACATACATTTCATCAAATGTTCATCTTTTTGTCTAAACAGTAGTTGAAATTATATTTATTTTGATATGGCTTCAAATTCTACAATGAAGGGACTTGTGTAAATGTGAAATTAAAATACATTTTCAAGGGGCCAGCAGGTGGTATAGTAGCTAACACGTTGGACTCCCACATGGCGAACTGCAGTTCAAGTCCCAGACCAGTGGCTTGAAAAATCACACAGGGTTCATGTGCATGCATGCCTAACAGAAAATAATGGAGGAGGAGGGATTGTGGTGTGGCCGTCCCCACTGGGGAGTGATTTCTCACTTTCCCTCTCAGCATCCCTGTCTCTCCAGCAAGCACACACACCCTATGGCAAAAACCTAAAACAAACAAACAAAAAGCTATGTTCAATCCTGTACTAAATCTACTTGAACATATATGTAAATGTACTAGTTTTTGTTTTCTTTTTTATTACTTCCTTCTCTAACAATTTGCAAATTCTATGTTTGGTCATGAAATTGATGGCAAGTCTCACCATAAATTAGTTAGCATAAACCATGTCTTATATTTTACTCTGTGTGTGGTTGTGTGTGTGTGTGTGTGTGTGTGTGTGTATTACCAGATTTCAAATTGTTGGAATAATAACAAGGATTTATGCTTATTTGCAAAACAAAATAAAGAAAGGAATCTTTCATACCAAGCTTTTCTACTTGACCCCTGTGAGTATGAGCCCTTTGCTCAGTGAAGTTCTCTTGGTGTTCTCAGTGCTCCTTGCAGTTGTGTAGCACCAAACAAACTCAGTAGCATCATCTTTGGTTGTCCAGCAATTTTGAGTAGTTTCTTTTTGGATTAATTATACTTTGAATACATGTTTATTCTTTCTTGGATAATATCTGAGGCATAATCACAGGTCGTACTTTTCCAAATGGGTTGAAGAACAAATTCCCAGTGTCTAATGCTGTGCCTTTCTAGTGTAGTTCTGGTTTCCTAAAACTTGGTTTTAAATAAATTTTCAGCGAGTCACGGATTTGAGTTATATATTCATGATAGTAGTACCCTAATTCAGATACTTAACAGGACTTTTTCTAGCAATACCATCAGGTAATTAACAGGACTCTTTCTAGCAATACCAATAATGCATTTTATGATTATGTATGTTTTTATAATGTCAAAAATATTATTAATTTAAATTTTTTATTTATTGTTTAGAGGAGGTTTTGCTATAGGGCATGTGCACTCATTAGAGAGACAAAGAGAGTGAGGAGTCACCCCACCCCGCCCAGGAGATGGCCATGCTACAGTCCCTTCTCCTCCACTCTCCTCTCAAGATTCTGAGCAGGCACACAGATGTGCCTGGCATGAGTTTCAAGCCACCAAGTCTGGGACTCGAACCCCAGTCGACTACGTGGGAGTCCAGCAACATAGCCATTATGCCAACTGCTGGTCCCACCCTAATTACATTGAGAAGTTAAAATTAACAAGGCCAGCTGCCGAAAGGAGAATGGAGGAGATGGGATTGTGGAATGATCATCCTCCCTGGGGAGTGATTTCTCACTTTCTGTCTCTCTGCCTCTGTCTATCTGGCACACGCCCTATAGCCAAAAAAATAAAATAAAATAAAAACCTCTAAAAAATATATAATTAGGGCATGTCCGGACTTTATATATTATTCATAATAAAATAATTAGCTTTAATTATCACTTTTCTCCAAGTCTCACTAAATTTTAGGATAAATATTAGTGGAGTTACTTTTGCAGTAACTTTTCTATGTTGTAGTAAAGATACTATGTGCCTTTAGGTCTTGGCTATTGAGTTAATTGATTAACAAGTGCTAAATATAACACTGGTGTGCTTAGCCATGCAGTCATGTTGAGTGCCGTGTGGGTCTGTCACAGGAGAAAGGAAAGCAGTATGGTATGTTATGAAAGTAATTGTAATGTGTAGTGTGCGATTACATACAATATGTAATTACTTTATAATAGCACCTTGAGCAAAGTGTTGCACAGGTAATTAAAATGTTGTTCATGACTACAGCTTTAAAGTTACTGACGTACCTGGCCTTGATTAAGCCTAACTTTTATACTAAAGATAATGCAAAAGGTAGATTGATTCTCTTCTTGGTCTCGTTTCACTTCCAGGTGGAGGTTTAGCCGTTGGAACAGTTCTTCTAATCGGTTAGTATGAGCTATTGTTCATGGGTTTTTCTATTCTGAAATTAAATATTCAGACTATTAACTTTCTACAGAAGGTAAGGTAGATTATAGACTAATTGCCTTAAGTTCACACTTAAACTCAAACATTGATCCGAACTTGAAATAAACGAGGCAAATATATTCAACTGGATAAAAGTAAGAAGTCAATAGGTTAAAATACATGAAGCCAGGACCAGCAGATGATGTAACGGTTATGCTCCTGGATTCCCACATTTGACCGCGGTTTGAATCCTGGACCTGGCAGCTTAAAACTCATGCTGGGTGCGTGTGCTTGCGTGCCCAAGATCCCAAAAGTAGAATGGAGGAGAAGGGATTGTGGCATGGCCAATTCCCCCCTGGGGGGGTGAGTTCTCATGTTCTGTCTCTCTGTCTCTGGCAAGGGCACACGCCCTATAGCAAAAATTCCTCTTAAAAAAAAGATACATAAAACCATTTTATATTTATATACCCAAGAAGTGCAAGCCCTGTACAAACTGTTTACATAAATAAGAAATGGTTAAAGAAATGGGGAAATTGGGGTCAAGGGTATCCTGGAAACAAGAGGGAGAGGGTAGTTTCAAGAAGAAAGTTGCTTATGGGAAAAGCTTTCATACAAATGAAGTAAGAAAAGGATCTCAAAGTATCCAACAAATTAGGTAATTAGAAAGTGGTGGGTGACTTTGAGAGCTGGTTCTATAGAGTGATTTAGCAGCTCACCTGGTCTTTCGTAATATGGAAAAAAAATACTCCTGTCGATTTTACTCGCTAGGCCCTCATGCTACCTCTTCGGGCACAGTGAACGAGTGAGTCCATTTCCATATTACAGCTTGTCAGACATTTGAAGGCATCTCTCAGGCATCCTGCATCTTTCATGCCTCTTTTTCTTCACGCTAAATATCCCATTTCTCACATCACAGTCTCTCGGCCCTTCACCATCTTGGTCATTCTTTTCTGAAGATGCTTCAGTTTATGTAAGTCCCAAAACAATATATTACAGTCTGTCTGACTGACCACTATAGAATAGAACGAAACAATCCTCTCTCAATACCTCGGAATTAAGACTATTAGTTCAGGCCAAAATTGCATTTGTTTTTTGGCCGTTCTGTTACATCATTATTATTTTTATTTGTCCAGTGTTATGGGCATTCACTATATAGATTAATTACATGCTTTTTTTTTAATAATTATTTATTTTAATTTTTTTTGTTCATTCATTTATTTATTAATTTGACCAGAGAGAGACAGAGGGTGAGAGTGAGAGAGAAAGGAAGTGAGAAAGCAAGCCACCAGATTCAGGACTCAAACCCTGGTCGGCCATGTGGGAGTGTCCAGCACCTTAACCACCACGCCACCTGCTGGTCCCAATTACATGCTTATTGTACAGCCTCAAAATTCATTTCTCAAACTTGGTAATGTTGAATTTGATGAGTTTGGTGCTTTTGCTAATTCCTAAATAGGTGATCTTTTCAATTTTTTCTGCCCCAGAGAACTCTCAGAAAGGAGAGGTGATAACTGTCAAAAACTTTGTGTATTTGTGTGTATATGCACTTGGCAGGGTGTGTCTTCAACCAAAGTACAGTAAATGTGACTGATTTATAAGACAAGATAGATTTTTGTTGTTTTTACATTAATAATTAATTCTACAACTGTTTAGTGCACTTACACTATGTGCCTGCACTAGAATACAGTGATGAGATACAGCCCTGCCCTAAGAATCTTGTAGCTTCCTGAGGAATCTCAGTCATGCACGTTGAGTAATGTGTGCTGAATGATGCTGCAGGAGGCTGAAGAGGGTGCTGCAGAGCACACTGATGATCTGCCCACCTCAAGGAAAGCTCCTCAAAGATGGTGCTGCCTAATTTGGGTCTGGAGAGATCTGAGAGAATTAATTAGCCAGTGCAATGGGAGATGAGAGTGAATAAGTTAAGTCACTGGCTGTAAAGAAGGAAGAATTGATAGATTCTAAAGCTTTTAGGAGGATGGAGCCATAGGACTCGGTGATTAGTTGTAGGAATGGGGAGGGTGAGATGAAAATAAGAGTAGCTCACATTTATTGATCACTTACTATGTGCAAGACACTGGTCTAAGTGACTCATCTTTGTGACAGTCCTCCAAGGTAGATATAATTGTATGATTCCCACTTTCCAAGCTGAGGAAACTCAAGCCCAGAGCATATGGTGTTGCTCGCCCAACTAGCACGTAACTCGAGGGAGGTAGGTGGCAAGGAGGGGAACATGCTTTGGTTTCTCTTTTGGATGTTTTCGTTGTGAAGGCCTGTTCACATAACAAAGTGAAGATGGGTAAACTATGTACAGACATGCCCTGTACCGTGCCTGGCTAACAGGGACTGACTCAGGAGGTTTGAAGTAACTAAGGGATGTGGGTGTGTGGAGAGAAAACCCTGATGTGGCTGTCGCCTGCTTTTCATTGCTTTCCTGTGCCTTCAAATAGCTATTTTTAAATATTTTGTCCAGGTTTTATAATTACAGCTGGAGGAGGTCTGGCACAGGGACTTCCTCTTGATCTTTGCACAAGTTCAGACTAAGGAATGTTTTCAACAGTGATTTTTACAAATAATGATGATTAGTACATTATAGGAATTCAGCTAAATTTGCTGAATTAATTAATGATGACTTTTTTGGAACAGTACAATAAATTTACCTACAGCTCTTTGTATTGTATTTAAACTTTTGAAAGAAAAACTGATATAAAAGTATAGGCATGTAGCTTATCAGAATAAAGATAAACCAAAGCTGTTTTTATTATGTAATGAAATCTCAAAAATGTATTTTTGCCAAAGAAACATCTTGAGTCAGCACTTAATCATTACAGTTCAAAATGAAAGGGGGAGAGGGAATTATTAAAAAGCAAAAGCACTGCTTTAGCAGGAAAATATTTAGTCCAGATTTTTTTTTTTTTTTTTTTTTTTTGCTATAGGATATGTATGCTCATGAGAGAGAAAGTGAGAGAAGTGGCCACACCACAGTCCCCTCTCCTCCTTTCTCCTCTGGGAATCCTGGGCGTGCACGTTCACACACCTGGAGTGTTTTCAAGCTGCTCAGTCAGGAACATGAAACGTACCACCTGCCATGTGGGATCCAGCCACCTTAACCTCTGTGCTACCTGCTGGTCCCAGATTTAAGAATTTTATCAAATTAAAGTCTTCAATTTTAGGTTATTGTTGTGATTGTAAACCCAGAATGTGGGAGTAATACTATTTTTGTGATTTTATAGGTATTAAGCATCAAACTATGCCTTATATGTGTGGTTATTGTGACATGAAAGACATGAGTTGTGAGCGTGTTGACAGTTGGTGGGTGATAATGGACCCGTCGGAGACAGAGTGCTGAGAGGGTGCCCTGGATCACAGCGAGAGGCTCTGCCTTCTTAGATATAATCAGACGTAACCCCATCCAGCTGGTGGCTCTCAGGGTCCTGTAGTAGTTGGAGAATGATCGTTGGAATCAGAATCTCTGCGAAAAGTACCTATGACTGATTATCTTCAGTCTCAGACTGTGCAAGTGTGGCTCAGAAAGACATGATTGTTATCCCAGCTCGTATTTGTTTTACAGGGAAAAAAAGTGAAAACCTGTGAGTTTTTGACAAATAATAATGACTATCATTTTTTCCTATTTTTACAGAAGAGGATAAATACAATATTTACTCTCCTTTGCTCTTCAAGTATTTCTTAGCAGAGGGAACCATCAGTGGGCATATGTTGTTGATTGCGTCTGCTAAAGAAGACCCTGCTAACATCCTGCAGGTATAGAATATTCTACTTCACTATTGCATTTGAAACATTCATGGAAGATTATTGTTTGTCTATGTAAGCAAACTATGTTTGTATCTATACAAACTATATTTAAATGTATTAATGAAATCTTTTATTTTAGTGAAAAATATCAAATTTATTTAAACCTAGAAATTGACATTAAGTTAGTGTTGTTGGACAATTGTTTTGACTTATAATGCCAATCAGAGATGGAAAATATTAGTAGACTATTAAAAATGACACTGGGCCAGCCTGTGGTATAGTGATTAAGCAGCCAGATCCCATATAGTTGATTGCATGGTTTGAGTCCTGGACTCAGCAGCTCAATGAGCACTCTGGGTACATGTGTGTGCATGCCCAAAATCCCAAGAGGACAAGGAAAAAGGAGAAGGGTTTGCATGAAGTATGACTATTCCTCATGTGGGGTACCTGCTTGCTTTCTCTCTTTCTGTCTTCCTGTGTCTGTCTCCAGCAAGCACATGCACCCTTTGCCAAATTTTAAAAAACAAAACAAAATGAAACAAAATTGATACTATAGAAAATTCTTAGACCAGGTATTACAAAAATCATATTTAATAACAAGAACCCCCAAAACTTCCAGTTTGCACTACTTATAGATAAAAGGGGGAGAAATAACCTTCAACTTTTTAAAGAATTATTTAATTCTAATTATTATTGTTATTGTTATTAATTTGCCTTAGGGCACCTGCACTCAGCAGAAAGAGAGGGGGAAAGTGAGAAAGCAAGCCGCCAGGTCCAGAATTCAAACCACTGTTGGCCATGTGGGAATCCAGAGCCTTAACCACCACACCACCTGCTGTTCCCCATAACCTTTAATTCTTTACTTCTAATTTTAATGTTCTCCTTTGGATATAATTAATTAGTTTTCATCCCAACTTACTACTATTCCTAAGCAGACTTTCTAAAATCTAAGAATTTCTTTACTACTTACTTGCAAAATATGACTTAACCCTTACCTTAAAAGAAACTTCAGGCTCCAGCAGGTGGCATGGTAGTTAACGCATCGGACTCCCACATGGCCAACTGCAGTAGAGTCCCAGACCTGGCGACTTGCTTTCTCACTTACCCTGCTCTATAGAAAATTAAATAATTATAATAAATAAATAAAATTAATATATACTTCTTTAAAAAAAGAAACTTGAAACTTTAATTTTCACTTGAAACTAATAGCTGAAAGTGTAGGACGTCACGACCAAATGAAGTAAAGCAAATAGTTAAATTGTAAAAAAAAAAAAGGAGATATCTATGTAATCAGCACAATATTTATAAAACATCTTTAGTATTTTACAATTCTGCTTTGCTCAAGCAAGTTCCAAGGCACTACAGTATTTGGCATTTTTACTATAAGCTTTTCTTCATAGTTTCATTCTAAACACATCTCAAGAAATTTAAATGTTTATAAGTACAAAAATTCATATAGCTACTAGATAATATTCTATAATATATAGTCATAATAATAAAGCTGAAAAAAGTGGGACCAGCAGTTGACATAATGGCTGTGTCGCTGGACTCCCATGTAGTTGACTGTGTTTCGAGTCCTGGGCCTAGTGGCTTAAACACACAGGGCATGTGTGCGTGCGTGCTCAAAATCTCAAGAGGAGAATGGAGAAGAAGGGACTGTGGTGTGACCATCCCCCCAGGGGGTGATTTCTCGCTTTCTGTCTGCCTGTTTGTCTCTGTCTCTCTGGGGAGTGCACAGGCCTTATAGCAAAAATCTCTCTTAAAAAGAAAAAAGATACAGAAATTTGAAGTACTCAGTGATTAATATAATTTTGCTTTTAGAATGCCAGAAATTTTTCTCCTTCATGGAAGCGGTAATATATTTTATTAATCTGTTGTGTGTTTTTTAAGCCAAGACATACTTTTTACCTCAGGACAATTTTGGCCTTTAGGATTCTTAGTCTCTTTGTACAGAACAGGATCCCAATTGAAGCCATTTTTTGAGTAGACTTTATCATCCAAAGTCTTTTTTTCAGTAGCATATTTTCATTTCAGAATATAGTCTGCAAGATGGCAAACAAGTACATCATTTATAAGGAATCTGTAGCATTAAAAATACTCTTGGGTCATCGGAAAAGTCATGACTTTTCTTTTTATGTTTATCTATACAAAAATGCCTCATGACTTTTGCTCAATAATTTACAGTAACAGTCAACAGACACCAGCAAACTTCTGTAACCAAGCACAGATGTTACTATAATATCAACATCAAAATAGCATGTTTCCTTCTGTAGGTCAACTTTGCTTGTTAAATAAGATTGTCATAAAATCTAAAGAGAAACTTTGTATAACTTTCCTATGGTGGCAGGGGCTTTTTCCCTTCCATCCTTTTTTTTTTCCAGTTGTTTAGTTTTTGCAGTATTTTCTTAATGTTTTTATTTGTCCTTTGCTATTTCTTCCTGCTTTAATCATCTTAAGTCAATTCTGTGTAGTCGTACATTTACTAGGAAGAGTAGAATGAAGGCCAATAGTATTGTCATAGGGAGGTTCTTCATGGCATATGCTATCACATACCAAGTCAAAGATTTTTACATCAAACACCTTTATGGCCACTATAGGACATCTTCACCAGGCCCAAAGCTAGGGTCTTTTTCTTTCTTTCTTTTTTTTTTTTTTTTTTTTGGAGAGGTTTTCGCTATAGGGCGCGTGCGCTAGCCAGACAGACAGAGACATAGAGACAGAAAGCGAGAAATCATCCCCCAGGGGGGATGGTCACGCCGCAATCCCTTCTCCTCCATTCTCCTCTCAGGATCTTGGGCACGCACGCACACATGCCCGGCGTGAGTTTTAAGCCACTGGGTCCGGGATGCGAACCGGAGTCGACTACATGGGAGTTCAGCCACATAGCCATTACGCTAACTGCTGGTTCCCCAAAGCTAGGGTCTTTATATCCTTTTTTAAAAGAAAATCTTTTCTTTTTTTCCCTCCCCAACCCAAGTAGCAAATGTTAAAACCTAGTATTTACATATGTATGTATATTTGTGTGTATATATATATATGTATATGTATGTATGTATATTTGTACACTTTGCTTTAGAGAACTACTATTAGGGAATTAATTTTTTTTATCTCAAAACTAATCTTGGGCAGCTTTTAAAAGTTATCTTGAACTTTGGGGAACCAGCAGTTAGCGTAATGGCTATATTGCTGGACTCCCATGTAGTCAACCACGGTTCGCATCCCGGACTCGGTGGCTTAAAACTCACGCCGGGCGCGTGTGCGTGCGTGCCCAAGATCCCGAGAGGAGAATGGAGGAGAAGGGATTGCGGCGTGACC